AGTGAATAAGATGGGGATCTATTATTGGTCAGAGAATTGAATATAATGGAAAGGGTTCAGAGAGGCCAGCGGCACATACCAAGCAAAAATTGAAACAAGTAACCCCCTCCTCTCGCGCTTTTTACTTCTATTTATTCTGGACGAAATCTAAACCGAAAAGAAAAAAAAACGTTTATTTCCCAGATGCAAGTGGATGTGCTTGTTCTAGGCCACGTTTCCTTTTTTATTGACAGATTCATTTAAAGCAAGAGATTATCGTCTTTTGCTTAAGGCTAGGAACTAAAAAAGTTAAAAAAAAATTACTTTTTGTAATTGTTTATTACATTTGACCACGGTCCTTGTAAAAATTCACAGTCCTTGGTTAAAACACTTTCCGGTTTAGTGTGGTCCTTCACATTCAAGGGAAGCTGTAAAAATTACACCACAATTAATACCATCTAAACTACTCCCCAGTAGAAAGGAATGTTTTAGGTACAAGGTAGTAAAATAACATTGGTTACCATACTGAAAATATAAAATCTATAAGTATAAGGGTTTTTTTTTAGTTAATTTTAAAACAACAACTTCCGATTTTATTAGATTATGAGATTATGTCTACATCAGGAGCCCATAATATTCTCAACTATTCCATTACACTGAAAAAAGGATTATGCTCCCAAAAAAACTACGTTGCCCGTAAAATTATTTCCTACCATAGGTAATTTGTACAGTACTACTTCACTAAGCTTTTAATAAAATCATCAACTAAAAAAAAAGTACAAGTTCGAGTACACGATGAATAGGAATAAGAGAAAGGTTAACAAGAATGAGAGCATTTTCAATGAAGCTGCTAAATAGTACTTTTAAAACTATTAAAAACATATCTGCTATTAAAATCAAGCAAACATACTGTCATCTCATTTGTTATTCTCTTTTAGAAGACAAAGCTATTCATCAACAACTCATAAAAATAAAATTCAATATTCTTGGTATCCTACAGATCCCTTACTACAGAAAAAGGCCTATATACAACGTACTTTCTGAAATGAACTTCACAATTCATCACGCATTCATCACGAGTAGGTTAGATTACTGTGATGCTTTATTGTATGGCCTTCCCAAAGAGCAAATAGCTAAGTTACAA